ACCCGGCGTGTCAGTCCCTCTTACGTACAGCTCTCCCGGGCTTCTGTCACGAAGTCGTCTTGTTACACTGGATCGTTCACTCCGCGGCAGCTTGACAGCTGGTGATTTGTCTTGAGGAAGAAAAGGCACCTGGTGGTCCTTATTTGGAAAATATTAAGTCTGGCTTTAAAAAAAAAAACCTAAAAATGAAAACTAAAATCTAGCAGTAGCGGAAGTCTGAACTTTGGATGTTTCACCTTTCGGTCCCGTTGCCTTTAGCAGTCATAGAAGTAAGCGGTTCGTTTCCTGGAAAGTGCGTGGCGCCTGCCCACGACACCGCGCGGGGCCCCTCGGCCGGCTGTCCCCATGGTGCCGGGTGACAGTGGCCCCGTCCCTGCTGTGCTACATTCCTTGGGGCCTTTTGCTCAACTACTTGGCTAGTCTGGCTCAAGCACTCTACAGTCGGACGGACTTTCTGGCATTTCCTGCAGGACCTGGGGCCTCGGCACGACCGAGAACCCGCGCCGTGGGTGTTTCACGACGTGGAACGATGCTGACGTGTTCAGGACTCGGTGTTGTGTTTCCTGAATAAATATCTGCCTGTGAATCTGCCAACCTGAAGTCTGTTTACTCGGCCAGCTTTGTGAGTCCAGAGCCGGCCGGCTGGGCCTCTTCACCAAGGCGCCTGCTTTGCTGTCCGGCACCACCAGCAACGGTGCGGCTTCCTCTCGGGTAACAGACGCTTCCCAGGGCCAGTGCCCCGGGTCGCTCTCCCTCGAGGGCTGCCGCAGCGGCGTTTTTAAAGGAAGTGAGTAGGGCTGGGGATGCAGTTCGGTGGTGCCACCGCCTGCCTCGCAAGTGCAAGGTCTCGAGTTCAGTTCCCGGTACCGAAAGAACAAAGAGGAAAGGTGTATGAGTGGCGCCCTTGTTCTTGGGATTTGGAAAAAAGTGGCTACAACCATGAGTGCTGGAAGTTGGTGTGACAGGGAGAAGCCTGGCCCTCAGGTGGCCAAAAGGCCGTGCAGTGTCCACTGGGGAGGGATGCTGGCCTCTCCCAGGATCAGGAACCTCAGCAGATGCCTTCATGTGGGCCTGGGTCACCCAGGGCAGCGTGGGGTTTAGGGTTGTGGTGCGGGTGGGGCACCTGGTCAGAGCCAGCGCGGCAGGCGGCCCTGCCGTGGGGAGTCACCGCTGGCCCAGGAGTCCCCTGGGGGCGTCCCCTTATAACCTGAACTCGGGGAGGCTGAGGCAGGAGGATCACAGGTTTGAGGGCAACCCAGCAAAACTCCCTCCAAGAAATACAGCATCTGGCAGGCTTCGGTTTCTGTGTATTCTGTGCACCTTTGTTCTGGGACAGTCGCCGTTGTGGAATTCTGGTCCTAATGCAAGGGTGCAGTGGTCCAGTTTCTAACGCACACCAGCGGCTGGCAGTGTCCACTTGAGACCCTGTCCGCTGTACCCCTCGGATTTCATAAAGGGGAGACAGCCAGTGTGGTGGCGCTCAACTGTGGTCCCAGCTGCTCAGGGGCTGAAGCAGGATAATCTCTGGAGTCTACCAGAGACCCCGCAAGGGCTGAGAGGACAGTGGGTGTCCACGGAGCCCAGGGGCAAGCACCTGAACAGCGCTCACCACCCGGGTAAGGACGCAGATGAAGCTCCGCCTGAGTCCCGACGGCCAGCTTTGGGCAGTCACCCTGGGGCCTCGATCCTGGCCGCGCTGAGGAGGGTGCGAGCAACAGGGCTTTCCTGGGCCCTGGTGCCTGCCCTTGTTCAGTTCTTTCTCTCCATCTTCTGCAATGGCCACAGCGCCCCAGTGTCACCCACAGTCGGGCATGGCAGGTGTCACCTGCGCCTCTCAGAATCGGGAGGCCGAGGCAGTTCTTGAAACGAACATTTTGATTTTGTGCCTGGTGTTGACCCAGGGTGCGCACTGGCTGGCCCAGCTCCTGCCTGTCTTAGTTTGAGTCGGGGTCTCTGACAGTCGCCCACACCGACCTCAAAAGTGCTGCCCTCCAGCCCCAGCCTCCCACATCGCTGTGTTCCAGGTCTGGAGCACCCCCGGCAGCTGGATGAGACCCTGTCTCAATCTAAAAACAGTGAAGCGGCCAGGGAGGTAACTCGGTGCAAGGCCCTGACAACCTTCCCAGAGCCACTAAACCCAACAAAGAAACAGTGCTGCACTGCATTGTATGAGGCACTGAAATTAGAAATACGTACCATTCCGTACCCGGTGGTTCACTTTGTGTCAGGAAGTCACAAATCACAAACTGCAGCAATATAAAATTGTAAGCTACAAAGCCACACAAAGTGACAGCAACACAAGTGAGTTATATTCATAGCAAACAAAACCCACAAAACTTTTAAAAAAAATAATAGCCAGACATGGTGGTGCACACCCGTCATCCCAGCACTCAGGAGGCTGAGGCAGGAGGATTGCTGTGAGTTAGAAGCCAAGGAGACAACGTTAAACCAAAAAAGAAACAGAAGACAGTGTTCTTTTGAGAAGAGTCTTGCATCTCATCTGGAGCAGCACACGGACGCTGGTGCTGTGTCCTGACACCGCTCTGTCTGGGGGAGGCAGGGACACAGCCACCTCCCCCTGCCGGGTCCGCAGGGTGCACACCTGGCGGCCGCTCACAGGGCTGGGCCGACAGCCACACTGACGTGGGAGGAGACAGTGTCCTCAAAGCCCTGCGGGACACCCGGCCCAGGCTTCTCTGGCCACGGTGTCACTCCCGTGCCAGGCAGGCGCAGGCCTCTCCTTCCAGGGTGCAGCCAATGGGCGCTCGGGCTCTCACAGGAGGCAGTCCCGGTCACTTTCCACCGCTGGGGCAAAGTCCTGGGGCTGGCGCCTGGTCTCACAGTATTCGGGGGCTTAGTCCCAGCTGCCTGGGCGGAACCGCACAGTGGAGAGCCCAGCGGCACACTGTCCGGGAAGCAGAGGGAGCCCAGACTGGTCTCAGACTAGCAGGGATCCTCCTGCCTCTGCCTCCCGAGTACTAGGATTACAGGTCAGTGCCACCATGCCGGGCATAAAATATTCTAAAGTTCACCTTTGTTGTAAGTATTGGCAAAACAACTAGTAAGCCTCAAATGTGACTTTTGTTTTGTTTTGTTTTGGAGACAGGGTCTCACTATGTAGTTGAGACTGACCTGGAACTCACTATGTAGCCCAGGCTGTTTTCGAACTCACAGCGATCCTCCTGCCTCAGCCTCCCGAGTGCTGGGATTACAGGCGTGCACCACCACGCTCGGCCCAATGTGACTTTTTAATAAAGAGCATTT